AGAGGGTGGCGCGTCTCGGGTCGCCTCGTGGGTACACTCACTCAGTGGAGCGCCTTGTTTGTGTTTGGCTATCGTATCCTATACTGATCGCGCTGTGAACTTTCGTTATTATCGTATTCAATTGACTTTATAATGACTGGAAAGCGTAAAAGTGAGAGTGCTGGTGGTGGTCCAAGGAAAAGGAGACAGGCAATTACTTTTGAGATGAAAATGAAGATAATAACACAGTATGAGAATGGAAAAACAGTAGCAACGATCTCACGCGACCTAGGTTTCTCACACTCGACTATATCCACTATTCTGAAGGACAAGGAACGTATTTGTGAAGTAGTGAAAGGAACAACACCTATAAAGGGAACTATAATATCAAAGAGAAGACAAGGTCCTATTCACGATATGGAAAAATTATTGGTGATATGGTATAGAAGACCAGATACAAAAGCGTGTACCCTTAAGCGTTCTAACCATACAGGCTAAAGCAAGAAGCCTGTTCCAAAGCCTGAAGGAGCAGGCAGGAGATGAGTGTGATCAAACCTTTACAGGAAGTCATGGGTGGTTTGATAGATTTAAAAAACACTACAGTCTACACAATGTTAAGGTGAGTGGAGAGGCAGCTAGTGCCGATGTTGGTGCTGCCGAAGCTTTTAAGGAGGAGTTAGATTGTGGAAGGGAATTATTTGCCTGAGCAAATATTCAATGTGGATGAGACTGGATTATTGTGGAAGTGCATGCCTGAGCGGACATACACCCACAAAGAGGCGAAAACAATGCCCGGATTCAAGGCATTCACGGACAGAATTACACTTCTGTTGGGGGGGAATGTTCCTGGTTACAAGCTAAAGCCCTTCATGATCTATCATTCAGAGAACCCCAGGGATTTTAAACATGTCAGCAAGCACACACTGCCAGTGTTTTATCACAGTAACAAGAAAGCCTGGATGACCCTAGTACTGTTTGAGGATTGGTTCATGACTTGTTTCATTCCACGAGCCAAGGAGTATTGTCTGCAACAACAGATTCCATTCAAGATTTTACTGATTTTGGATAATGCTCCGGGACACCCACCACACCTGGACGACATGCACCCTGATGTTAAGGTAGTGTACATTCCACCTAACACTACCTCTATCATCCAACCCATGGATCAAGGTGCTATTGCTGCCTTTAAAGCGTATTATTTACGCACGACCTTCGCTCAGGCTGTTGCTGCTACTGAAGGTGAGAAAATGCTCAGACAGTTTTGGAAGGAGTACAACATTTTGTCATGTATAAAGAACATTAGTACAGCATGGGATCAGGTTACAAAACATTGCATGAATGGAATATGGAAGAAAATCCTGAAAAGATATGTGCACAGTTTCAAAGGATTTAATGAAAATGAAGTTATTTCGGATATTAGTAACAAGATAGTGGAGTTAGGTAAACAGCTGGAGTTAGAAATTGATACTGAAGATGTTGGACAGTTGGTTGAAAGTGTAGCAGAAGAGCTCAGTAACAAGGATCTTATTGAACTAGATGCACAGAAAATTGTAGAGGAAGAAGAGAGACAAAATGTAGAAGAAGAACCTGCACCCCCCAAAAAGTTTTCAGTGAAACAAATGGCAGAGGCATTTGCTACAATTAATAAAGCAATGCAAATGTTTGATGACATGGATCAAAATTATGAGCGTTATGCCAAAGTTGACAGAACGATCCAAGTTGCACTTGCTTGCTACAGAGAAATTTATAATGAAAAGAAAAAGCAAACTGTGCAGTCTAAATTGGACATCTATTTCAAGAAGTCCCCCAGTGCTGTCTCCTCACGCCCCACCAGTGCTGCCTCTTCACTCCCTCAAGATGAACCAATACCTTCAACCAGCAAGTTTTCACAGCACATAAACCTGTCTGAAGCAAGCGACATTGATGACCCACCCAGCCCTGTCTCCTCTTCTGCTTCTTCCAATTAATATAGTCTCCATGTATCCTGTAAATAGAAAATTATGGGGGCCCTGTGTGCATTCAGCTGACTACATTTAAGGTAAGTGCTCAGTCACACTGTATCCATTCCTCATTATTTATTACTTTTACTGTACTGTATCCATTCCTCATTATTTATTACATTTAGTGTACTGTATTTCATTGTAGATTTTTATTTTTATTTGAAAAAATTTTGATTTTTTTTTTTTAAATTTTTTTTTATCTATGTCGGACTTACGACCTGGATTTGGGTCCCTAACCCCGTCGTAAGTCGGGGTCTAGCTGTATATATATATTAATAATTTTATTTTCTGTCTTTCTGTCTATAAGTACAGTATCTATCTTATACCTGTATAAACATTAATTCAATCATAAACAAATTCAGCAATAAACAATAATGAATCTTTTGTACATACCCTGTATTGTATTCTTAATAAGATAAATGATGCGGTTTCCTTGAGGGCGCATGTATACATTGGCGTTCCACTATCAGTCGCTTTTTTCTTTAACATCAGTGGTTACTTTTACTGTACATTAAATAAGATTAATTAAAACATACATATTTGTTTACATTAATTTTACTACAGGAACAACCATGGTCTTATTTTCTTCAGTTTCAGATGGATAACTGACAATATGGGTGTAAACACTGACTACAACAATGGCGTCCCATCTCCTCTTGTGTGACATTATTATTATTGATTTATATTGTATAAGGTGCATTCATAAACACTATAGTTTGCATTTTTAATTCATTTTATTGTTTGGGGAGAAAAGAGGGTAAAAAGCCACACAAAAAATATGAAAAGGTCACACTAGGGATTGCATCTCATTAATATTGCTTTATTATAATGGTAATTAATGATTCACGATACGATGATTCACCTTACACTGCAATATTGGAGGACACATTACCTCCGTTATTCGAGGCTTTACTGTATCAAATATGTGATTGATAAGGGAGTACCAATTGATGATGTGAAATGCTTTGATCAAGTTAGCAATCTGAAAAAAATTAAATTAAGTGGCAAGAGCGATAAAGAATTCAATTTATTGGTAACACATCAGAAATGAACCAAATACTTTGAAAAGTCCAAAAACATTGATTGTCATTCAGAACTGTTGAAACTTGCACAGTTTTCTTTGCTATACCTGCTCATAATGAAAATGTAGAGAGGATTTTTTCGCCAATGGACATAGGAGAGAAATAAGTTGACAGTTGAGTCACTGAAAGGACTTCTGCTTGTACAGTACAACTTCAGAGAAATTTCCTGCAAAGACTTCCATGCCTTCTTAATGAGCAATCAACCACTACTGATAATGATGCAATCTACAGAGAAATATGCCTGGTAGCATCAAGGAAAAGAAAATTAATGCTCAATCTGCACTAAACATAAGGTAAGCTACAGAAAATTTTGAGTTATTACTATATACCTGTACTGTATTAATGTTTTCAGCCACAAAATTTCTAAAATACCGATAGGCCTACTTGATATAAAAAATGCACTAGCGCACAATACACGAGTATAACAATGTTTCAACGTGGAATATTTGATAGGAAAATTTTTCAGGTTGTCCCCCTTTTTCGATGTTCAAATATGGTAACCCTATTGTGACCCCTGTTGTAAGCTGGTCTACTGAAAGCTCACACGAACGCATTTTGAGTAAACAACCTTCTGATACAGCTTATCCTTTTATTTTCAAGTCATATTACAGATTACATACAATATTGTATTTTTTCTCTATTACTGACGATGTTATATTAATCATGATGAACCATAAACCATAAGAGGCCAATCATATGAGAATAAAATACTGAATAAATAAATAAATAAACCTCACGAATGTGGCAACACCTGATCAACCCCAGCTTACATACACAAGTGACTTAATTTTATTATTAGATAAGTTAAAAGAAGGGATGAGTGCTGTCACAGTTGATCAACTGTTTGGTATAGGTATACAGTAGCAGTAAGGACTGCTTGCATGGAGTTTGATGGAGGCTTCTCCCAGATTTCATTCATGATTTTAAAGGCGTTGATGCATCAAAGGAGCTCCCAAAAATAAAAGAAAATTGTGTTGCTCTTGCAAAGCAAGTTGGCTTTGAAGAAGTGGAGAGTGATGATGTTGACGACCCTGCTCGAGTCCCATTATGAAGACCTCTCTACAGCTGATCTACAACAACTTGTTGCTGCTGGAGAAATAGAAGCTGGCTAAGATGATGAAGTCCAGGATGCAAAATCACGAGAGCTTCCCACTTCTCTATTGTCTTCTATCCTGAGGGAAGTTGAGAAGCAGTTGCAGCTCTTGGAAGATGACTATAATGCACGAATGGAGCAGGATTGTAAGATCTTATTTGGCACCTTATGAACAGCTTTATGAAAGAAGAAAAATGGCAAAGCAACAAACATTAGATGTCTTTTTTAAGGCAGCCCCCAAGAAACAGTCTGAAGACAATGAACCACAGCCATCCACTTCTGGAATTAATTGTTTATATTTCGTCCAAACCCTGCAACCACAACTGCACCTGATGATGATGATGACAACTCTTAGCCCCTGTCTGCATGACTCATCAACCTCAAAATCACCCTTCTCCCCTATCAAGTTATCTTCATATTTTTTCAAGGTAAAGTATTACATTTACTATATTATTTCATTATTAGATACGACTGTAGCATTTATTTAGACTGTGCTATCCTTTGTGTTAGGATAACTACTATATTTGTTTAAATTTTGAGTAATCTGCACCTAAGCCTATTTTCTCCACAAGCCGTTATTTTTATTGCGCAAATTTCTATAGCGTGAGGTTTCAAATATATATATACTTGTATATATGTAATCGGTCGGAATATCTCACTACTAGTTATTGGGGTTTTTTGAGTTATAGTGGATGGTAATGCAGTGCTTCCACTGCATTACCATCTACTATAACTCAAAAAATCCCTCAGAGAAAATCCCAAACCAACACAAACACAACTAATAAAAGAATTTTCCATGACCGTGGAAAGCTAGTACCTGTGATTGAGGTTAATGAGACGCACTGGTAAAAGATGACACTTCTATTCCTTCCAACACTACAGATGGAATCAGTAAGTGTACTGTACACAAGCACTAGAGTACTTCTCAGCGTGGCTTATAACACTACAATAGGAAACAAAAGTTATACATGGTATCCAAAAAATTATTAAAACATATTAATTGGATCTGACAAGACTACTAATGCAGCATTACTACATACACCAGAACAGACACCAGAACGAGGAACTCATCTGGAACAATTCCTTCGTACATCCTATATCACTTAGTGGCACATAAAACATTCAAAAATATTACTTGCACCGATGAACATGCCTTAAGGGCATCCGACAACATTATAGCAATCACAGAGGAGTAGAAATCCCGATTTTTGTCACACTACACAAGAACATGGATTACTCATAGCCTGTATAGGATGACCCACAAAATACTATAATCTTAACTGTCCTAACTACCCAGAACCTGAAGGTTGTAACTACTAACCTGCCAAGTGGCAGGCATTTACAAGGAACAGATAAAATCACTCATGACCCGTCAGGCAGGCAGGTGCTCCGCTGTTCTTTTCATTACTCTCTCTAGGTTTCAGGAGTCATGAGAGTATTTCTCCACCAACACCCGTAACATGCTTCACACATAGGTTCAGAATGTACCCGTACTTTTAAGGTAGTAACAACCTTTCACAAACTCTAGGAGAGGAACTCCTACGTCCCACGTGTGCAATCAACCATGAGGAGCGTTGATCTCACACCTGGACTTGGTTAATTCAATCACATACACCCAATACTGGGGAGATGAATGTCTCTATGTAACCACTAGACTCATGGTCTCAGTGTGTGACCTTTCATTCACTCAGTCTGCACTCAGTTTACTCCCAGTACTTCATGGACAGGAAGAGTGACCGTCAGCCTGCCTAGTTAGGCCCATCCAGAGTACAGCCAGGTGAACCCTGCACAGCTGAGGGAGGGGTTCTACTTTCCCGTTAGTAAGATTTTTCACTGACTGACTGAAGAGATGTGGTGTTGTATGAACCAAGGTGGGGAGATTTGATGAACCAGATCGACCACCGACCAAAGTGCGAATGCTGGTCCCACGTAGTTAGTCGTCAGGAACACCCGTTCACCTCGTGCGTTGCCAGCTATATGACCACTAAACACCGACCAATCACCAGCCGACCGAGTGGGTTCTCAGAACCCTGCAAAAGAACACTCTGTTAGCTACTGTTAAATTCTTCTCCACCCTATCTAAACACTGTCTGAGATCGAATATAAACTCACTTGCAACACTGATGAAATGTGCGCGGGAAGAGACGAGGCTACGTGGTCGTTTTCCTTGGCAGACGAGTGGACTTCGTCCGCCTGGTGCAAACGCCTGAGAGCTACTGAGACCCAGTCCGCTTCGGCATGCCTCAAGGCGAGCCTGCCTCACCCAATGACGTCATCTTCCACGTATTTCTAATAGTTTCTTTGGGACACACGTAACATATTTAGTCTGGGAAACTGCCCACAATAACTTTAAATTTTATAATTGTCCCGTAACTTCATGAATCGTGGAAGAAAGTCCTGAAAAGATATGAGAACAGTTTCAGAGGATTTAATGAAGATGAAGTAATTTCTGAGATTGGTAACAAGATAGTGGAGTTGGGTAAACAGCTGGAGTTAGAAATTGATACTGAAGATGTTGGACAGTTGGTTGAAAGTGTAGCAGAAGAGCTCAGTAACGAGGATCTTATTGAACTAGATGCACAAAAAATTGCAGAGGAAGAAAAGAGTCAAAATGTAGAAGAAGAACCTGCACCCTCCAAAAAGTTTTCAGTGAAACAAATGGCAGAGGCATTTGCTACAATTAATAAGGGGATGCAAATGTTTGAAGAAATGGATTAAAATGTTGAGCATTTTGCAAAAGTTGTTAGACTGATCCAAGAACCACTTGCTTGCTACAATGAAAAGAAAAGGCAAACTGTGCAATCTAAATTGGACATATTTTTTAAGAAGTCCCCCAGTGCTGTCTCCTCACCCCCCACCACTGCTGCCTCTTAACTCCCTAAGATGATCCAATACCTTCAACAAGCAAGTATGTTAGTCTGTCTGAAGAAAGCGAACTTGATGACCCACCCAGCCCTGTCTCCTCCTCCTGCTTCATCCAATTAATGTAGTCTCCATGCTTAATTAAAAAATTATTGAGGCCCCGTGTGCATTCAGCCGACTACATTAAAGGTAAGTGCACAGTAACCGTTTTTTAATTTTTCATTATTGATTACTTTTACTGTACTGTATTTCATTTTAGAATTTCTATGTATTATTTTCAACTTACGACCAATTCGACTTATGACATGGTCATCGGGACAGAACCCCGTCGTAAGTCGAGGAGACTATATACGGACATATACATTAGAACTCTTAAATCACTACTGTTCTGTGATACAGGTGATTAATTTTAATTTCTGGTGCAAAATATATGATTTCTATATTCAAATTATCTACTGTCTTGCAAGGATTCTAGAAATGCAAATTATATTCTCCTAACTTTAGTTTGTGATATACTGTATGTATAAGATAAAAACTGTAGCCTAAAACCACCAAACCCTGGCTGGGAGGAGGGGGGGGAGAGGGAGGGAGGGAGGGGGGGAGGGAGGAGGAGGTGAGGTGATGTATTGTAACAGTTGGTGCCAAAGGTCTAGTGGGTATTTATTTATGTCCTTAAGAGTGACTTTAAGTTTTTCTCTTGTAAAATGTCACTGAACTGACCAGGGAGAATATAATTTATATTGCTGGGATTCTTATAAGATGGTGTTTAATTTGTATATAAACATTCTATAGTTTGCACTAGACATAATTTTTTATTTTAATTTTGACTTGGAAATTGGAAATTATAACCTAACCTCCAGGGTAATCAGCGTATAATTGAAACTGCGTAAGAAAAATGCGCTAAGTCTTTATTCAAGACATCTTCAGAGGCAACTGGATTACATGGACAGAGAGAGGCTTGAATATACAGGATGACCTTATAAAACATGAGGTCAGGTCATAATGATGTCATCCACTAATCCCCACACCAACACACACGTAGAGGAGCTTAAGAGAAGGGGGTGACGTGACTAGTCAGGTCAGGTAAAAAATAAGGGACCCATTAATAACTATCATACATTTAGATCAAAGCTTTTCAAAGCATTTTTAACCTTGGGCCACTGACAAATAAATTTATGTAACATATTATTAGTTTTGAACTGACCATAACTAAGGTTTATTGATTTTAATTCCTTAATCAAACTAGCTTCAACCAGAAGTCTTTCTGTGACACAAGATGATTTAAATACTTCTAAGCTTTTTTCCCAAGCAATGGGATGATTATTATTCCTAACATGGACGAACAAGGCACTGCTTTCAGATGCTGTTCTGATATTGTACTTATGTTGTTTGATTCTGAGCTGCAGTGTTTTTCCTGTCTGTCCTACATAATTACACTTCCATTTACATTCAAACTTGGGCTATTTCTTATTAACATATTGGTTTGATTGTAAATGGAAGTGTTTATTGTATTCCATAAGCGACAAAGTCCCTTCAAAAGAAATCCTGAAGGCAGTAACCCACTCAATGACTTATCGACGACCTCAACCCATGCCAGAAATAGACCAGGACCTCCCTGACTTAGGCAAAAGTCAGCATAATAGTAGCACCGACGTGGCCAGTCAGTCCCCCTGGGATCACAGCTCCAACAACACCGTAAACCTCCGTGACCCCAATACATGTACTCCCAGCGACGACAGTGACCATCGGACTGCAACCACAGTCAATGGTTCCGACCAGATGATGGCGATTTACTCCACAGAGGAACAAGACCCTCGAGCTGCAACGTCAGTAGATTACTTCGACAAGCAGGTCCAGGACACTGAACACCTTCCTGTACACGGGTGAAGAGAAGTTCGAGGGCCCGCCATTAACTGACAAGCAGAGGTTCGAAGGATCTGCCAAGAAGTTCCGTCCCCCTAGAAATGGCAAAAGCCGAGCAAACACCTCAAGCGACGCCCCAAGCTACAGTCTCCGAAATGGCAGTCATTAGCAGGATGAAAATTGTCCAGCATAATGTCTTATACTGGTCCCTGAATAGACGTAACGAACTGTCTAACTTATACTATCAATTAGACCCAGGCATTATTCACTTAAACAGTACTGGCATAAAGGACGAAAGTAAGCTGAAAATTTTTGGCTACACTGTATACCAGAGGAACATGACGGGTGAGCTGAATGATTGTGTCGCTGTGGCCATCAGGTCACGTCTGAGTCACAGAGTGTTGCCAGACTTCGAGGATTCAGTTCTAGGAGTGCAGGTGGAGACAACTAGGGGACCTGTTATCATATGAACAATGTACCTACCTCCCAGACGTCCTTACTTACCCGAACAAGACCTCAACCAGTTGCTACACCACAGAAAACCAACATACATCATAGGGGACTTAAATGCGCGCCACGCCATACTAGGACACGGTAATGAGAACAACGTCGGTGTGGCGCTGTATGACAACAACAGAAGGGGAAAACTGCAACACCTCGGGCCAGATTTCCTTACATTGATCAGACGTGCCAGTGCCACAACACCCGTCATAATCCTCTCTAACAACGAGGCCGTCCTGAACAGGCACGTTACCGCCGGACCCATCAGTACCAGCGATCACCTGTCAGTCGTCGTGACGCTCTCATCCAATCCCATTATGATCCCCGCCAACATCAGGTCAAACCTCAAACGGGCAGACTGGGACTCCTTCAAGGAGTCTCTCAGTCTCAAGCAGGGGAGAAACCTGGAAGAAGCCAGCCCCAATGACATCGACGACGCGGTCGAACAATGGTACACAGATGTGAAGACGGGGATGGACAACAACATCCCGACCACCACGCACAGGACCATTCCCCATCCTCACACTAGTCACCAGCTGAGGCAGCTCAGTGTCCAGTACGATCACGTGAGACAGCTAGCCAGTATCCGCGGGTGGACGCAAGAGCTTAGAGACCATTACCGAGAGCTACAGACGGACATCCAGCACGAGAGCAAACATCTACATGAACAAAAGTGGGCTGCCTTGGTGTGGGAGGCAGCCAACAATTACTGCGATTCTGCTGCCTTCTGGAAAGGGATCAAACGACTGATGGGTTCCATCTCTAGCACGGTCCCTTACCTGCTCGACCAAAACAACGTGAAAATATTCGAGGAGGAAAACCAAGAACAAATACATCGGCGATATTTACCGAAGATCTTTACCATTAGTGAACAGGAGAACGAGGGCTTCGACAGGGAGTTTGAGGAGGACATTTTAGGTCAGTTGCAGGATCATCAGCACCTGCTTCAGCCGCTCCCACGGACTGACTTCACTAGACTGGTGGACGAAAGCTACCTGACGGAGCCCATAGTTCCTGCAGATGTGTCAGCCGTCATAAAAGGGTTTAAAAACAAATCACCTGGTCAAAGTCACATTAACAAGAAGATCCTGGCTCAACTCCCCGACAACATGATAGAGAGGCTTGCTCATATATGCAATGCCTGCCTCGCCTCTGGATACTTCCCTAAGATGTTCAAAATCACCGTCATTCGCCTCATACCAAAAACAGGGAAGCCTCCAAACAGTCGAAAACTTTCGACCAATATCGCTGCTAGAGGTACCTGCCAAAATCTTTGAAAAAATAGTTAACAAGTGGTTGCAGATGTATCTGGAGGACGAAGACGTGCATAATCCCCGCCAGTTCGACTTCCGCCAGTACCGAGGCACATCCACCGCCATAGCCCAGGCCTACGAGCAGATCGCCAATGCCATGACTGGCTGCCTGTAGTGCAACGTAGTACTGAGGGACGTCAGCAAGGCGTTTGACAAAGTTTGGCACGCAGGGCTGCAGTATAAGATCATACAACTGGGGCTACCCAAAAACCTGACGCGCCTGCTGTGCAACTTTATTACGGACTGCAGAGCCAAAATCAAGATTCAAGAACATTTTGGAGAAAATTCTCACTCTTGAGCGGATTGCCTCAGGGCTCTTGCCTCTCACCAACCCTTTACATGGTCTACACGGCTAACCTGCTACCCCCAATCGTCGGCAGCGAGTACATCATGTATGCCGACGATGTAACACAGATCGTCACCTGCCCAGGAAGGTCCACGGCAAGGATGGTGCTACTCACTGCTCGGGCAGTAGAAGATATCTCGGAGTATGAAGATAAATGGAAAATAAAATCAAACAAAGCGAAATTCAAGATCATACCCATAGCCAAATTCAAGCCGGCGCCATTGATGATCGACGACGAAGAGATTAAGTACGGTACTCTAAACAACGCAGGTTGCTCGGCCTCATCATCTCTCATCATCACCTAGAGAAGAAGGTTTGGGGCAAGCACCTGGACGACCCTCACAGACCAGACCACCTACGCTGGGAAGACATCAACGTAGGGCGACCCCACGCCTGGTGGCCCCGGAGTCTGCCCGCACTACAACAACCCAACCCGCGACCTGTCTATGTCCGCCACAGTGATCCACCTTAGATTAAAACTTAGATGATATAAATTCACATTTAAC